GAAAAAACTGTTTTTTTGATTTCAGTACAATTCGCGTTTAAATCTATTTTTCCTTCTTAATACTTAATACTCTCACAAATATTGTTCCTTTACATATATGCATAGTTGTTAAGCTTGTTATTATGAGAAAATAAATACATTTAATACTTCTAAGACCTAAAAACATTTTTATTACGCATTTTTCATACATATTTTTATAAAACAGAGAGAAAAAAAAAACATATGGAAAAAATGTCCCGTGCGAATCTATTTAAAATTTAATTGCAAAAAATGTAAAAATAATTTTTGTTTAAAATCAAAACCATTTTTAAGAGACGTCAATGCACAACATCCTAAAACTAGTCACATTGATATATTGCCTCAGGTTTCGCTAAAATCTGGGTTTGAACTGGTGGCCGCGAAAACCACTTCTGAATTTGTCCCGTGCAAATACCGTGTTTTTTGCAATTATCTTGGAAACGAAAAGTTGCCCAAAATCAACCTTAACACTAATTATAGGGCTAGTTAAGAGTTATAAGTTAGGCCTATAAACAAAAAAAAAAATCGTTTCCATTCGACTTTTTTTTCACTTTAAGTGCGTACGACTGTCCCGTGCGACATCATGGAAATGCCCATATACATACATCCAGTTTGTGGTTATCTTTCTGTATGCCATGTTCCATCATGATAGGTCAATTCTGAAGAAAGTTATAGCCATAAGTAAAATCGCTGCTCATGCGCTGCCTGCAACTTTGTCGACAGCGCTGCCCGCAGCTGTTGTTGTTGTTGCTGCTTTGGTTCAACTTTGTGCTGCATACATACACGCATATAAACACTGCTGTTAAAACTGAACATAAACATGTATTCTAATTGAATTTAATTTAATTTAATTAATTAATTAATTCATTCATTTTATTTAATAATTTAATTTTTTTTAAATTTTTTTTTTTTTGTGGAGAGTACAGGCTATTTTACTGTCGGGCTTGCTCGACTGTAGCGTTCTATCTTGTTTTTAAATTTCTATAATTATTCTAAACATATGTGCAAAGCATTTCAAAGTTGGAACACCCAACTTTAGCTTCTCTACTTGTTTTAAATAATTGTTTTTTTTTTTTTTTTGGCGGTACATGGTATGTAAAAGTTGAGCTCGCTTGACTGTAGCATTTCTTTCTTGTTAGAATTTGTTGATTTACTTGTTTATACTAATGAGATGGCGCTTTGAAATAAATCTAAATACAAAAACTATATCTCCCCGTTCATTAAACACTACGGGCTAGAGACCGAAATTTTATGTAATCATTGCCGTATGAGTTCATTTGTATAGGTATATTTACAATATGCAGCTGAGTTACAACAAGCGAAATTTAATATATACGTTTTGATGGCGCGAGTTATGTGCCCGACACTGAGCACATCAGCCGACCCCAGCGGCCGCTCAGAAAGTATGCTCCCCAGCCAACGAAGTAAATAGAACAATCTCGAGAAACCAAACCGTAATCCTGTCGCTGCCTCTGCCGGGAGCAATGCACCAGCGCTGCCGCGACCCATATTTTAAATATAATAACTTAGAAATTCTAATTTTTTTACGCAAAGCTAGATTATGGAGACTGCAAAACGTAAAGAGACTTAAATTAAAGCTTAATTTCCAACATTTTATTTACAATATTCGCGCAATCACACTCATGCATTCTTTTGCGCGCCAATTCGATCATCGTGATCATTAGTGATATTAATACTAACTACTGTTGCAAAATATTAGGCCAGCAAAAAACGGTTGCCAATCACCCTTTTTGAAATTACCGTATAAAAATCTCAATTAGTTAAGAAACTTTTACGATTAGTATTACACCGATAACCTTGTGGAATAGGATTTCACGGTATCAAACAAGAGAATTTCCGTTTTTAAAAAAATATACATCATAAAAATGATGAAAATCTATCAACTCTTTGGGAGAAATAATAAAAAACATGAAATAAACTCAGTGTTGGTGTCCAGTATATATATTTACCACCGTATACCTTATGACAATGCAAATTAAGGAAATACTGCCACCGTCAGTTGTATTTAACTATAGCTAACATAGCGTTAGGCACCCAGACATTGGATGCATCTACATATGTACGATTTCTGATAAGGAGATTTGTTGGACAACAATTATATGCATATTGGTTAAGATCTAGTCTGATTTACGTTTATTTTCAATTTTATCATTTAGACCCAAACAAACATCTACTACCTAAGCACACTTTGTATAGAAACCTTAAAATTATTCTTAATAAATCAGAACGAAACAACACGCTATCGAGTACGTTTCTCATTTCTTAAGCTCTCCGAGCCGGAGTGTTCCAAGTGCCGGTTGTGACAACATTACTGCTACTAGGTTTAATGAATCGCGATATCCGTTCATCCTGTTCAACTGTCTATTACAATCACTATCACACAGCATTAAATCTAACTTTATTAAAGACACACATTTGAAGTGTATTTTTACACCCTGTACCCAAAGGGTAAAAGGCTATACTAGGTTTGTGCGAATGTATGTAACACACAGAAGGAGGCGTGGCAGACCCCACAAAGTATATATATTCTTGATCAGCATGACGAGACGAGTCGATCTACAAGTAGCCCTGTCTGTCTGTCTGTCCGTCTGTCCGTCCGTATGAACACCTGGATCTCAGAGACTATAAGAGATAGAGACACCAAATTTTCCACAAAGATGCGTTATGTGTGTATTCTATACGAGTTTGTTTTATTTTTTTGATTTTCCCCCCACTTCCCCCCTATGGGGGTTTTTCCGATTTTCCATTCGTATATCTCAGAGACTATAAGACCTAGGAACACCAAATTTTAGTCCCAGATGCCTTATGTAAATACGCAGAAAATGTATATTTTGGAATTTCCCTCCCTCCCCCCTCTCCACCGCAAATTGCGATTTTCTCTAACTCCCGTAATTCTTGGAATTTCGAACTAAGATTTTGGAAATACCCCAAGTTGGTTATTATGTGTCCGTATGACGTTATTATGTGTCACTATGATATACCGATTTAACGAGAAGTTATAGCCATAAATATATTTGCTGCTGCAGCGCTGCTCAAGCGCTGCCCGCGGCTGTTGTTGATGTTGCTGTTTGGTTGACTGCGAAAATGCTTACACAGACACGAATAGATGCGCATAGGCATACATACACTCACACAGACGCAATTGCTATGTAAATGTGCAATTATAAACCCTTCACGTGAGTTCAAATACCGAGAGAGGTAAAATCGATCAAATTTTTTTTTTATTTTCTATAATTATTGTAAACATATGTATATATGTATTTCAAAGTCGGGACACCCGACTTTAGCTTTTTTACTTGTTTTATTCTGATACACCCCCCACTCCCCGGCAATGCGTGTTTTTTCCATAACTCTCGTAGTTCTTGTAATTTCGAACTAAAATGTAGTAACTACATCCCGTGACTATGTGTCCGTAAGTTAAGTTATATCATGATAGGTCAATTCTGAAGAAAGTTATAGCCATAAATAAAATCGCTGCCCATGCTCTGCTTGTAGCGCTGCCCGCAGCTGTTGTTGTTGTTGCTGCTTGGGTTCAACTTTGTGCTGCACACATACACGCATATAAACACGCCGAGGCACGATTCTGATGTAAATGTATGCTGTTTAATTTAATTTAATAATTTAATTAATATAATTTTTTTAATTAATTAAAAAAATGTTTTTTCATTTTTTCCATTTTGGTGGGAGGTACAGGGTATTTAAGAGTTGAGCTTGCTCGACTTTAGTATTCTTTTCTTGTTTTATTTTGATACACCCACCCACTCCCCCGCAATTCGTGTTTTTTTATAACTTCCGTAATTCTTAGAATTTTGAAATCAATTTTAGTTGTTACATCCATTTAGTGCTTATGTATCCGTATGCCAAGTTTCATCATGATTGGTAAGTTCTGAAGAAAGTTAAAGCCATAAATAAAATCGGTGTCCATGCTCTGCCTGCACCTCTGCCCGCAACTGTTGTTGTTCCTGCTTTGGTTCAACTTTGTGCTGCATACATACACGCATATAAACACGCATAGACACGTGATGTAATTGTAAAACTGTACATAAACATGTCTTCTATGTATGTATTAAATATATTTTCTTTATTAATTTAATTAAATTTTTCAATTTTTTTTTTAATATTTAATTTTTTTTAAATATATATTTTTTTTAATATTCCTTTTTTGTGGAGAGTACATGCGACAGTAAAATATGTCGGGCTTGCTCGACTGTAGCGTTCTATCTTGTTTTTCATATTTTCTTGTAATCATTGTGAATATAGTTGAATTGGCGTTAATAAATAAGTGGCCACTAGTATGTATTATAAGTATATGTCTTTCTTATGTCTGGTAGGGTTACAACGATGCAAAACAATGAGAATGATAATATATATTTATCAAATTATTTCAATAAATAGAATACCAAGTGACAAAAAGTAAGAAAATGTTGACAACCCTTGTGCTTCGAAAAACTTATATGCTCATTTCTGCGCGTTCTTAAACGCCAAAGTTTCTTTGTTATTGTGGATGTTATTTTTATGAATTGGATCAAATGCCGTTGTTGTTAATAACTAACTTCATCCCCAAATTAAACATCCTACAAAAATGTTGATAGTATTATCCCATTAATATGAAAAACCACACTACCTTTAATTGTCTTCAGTTAATTTATTTTATGTTTCATACTTATTATTATATATACATATACAACTACATATTTTTCCTTAATAAAATCATTTTTCTACTTAGCTAGGTTGTGCTGTATCAACCACATATAAATTTAAATTAGGTTTTTTTTTCTACAACATTGCATTTAATTTACCTTTATCATCTACAAGTGTATTCACAATATCATTACAGCATGATAACCAAGCTGCCCTTAATAATTTATATATAGAAATAAATGTAAGAGGAACATCATTTTGCCTGTGCGAATTAGTTAATTTGTCCTTACATATACATAGCTAGGATTATAAGTACAGAGTTATACTATTCGCATACCAGTATTTATTCTACTTTGAACATCCGGAGGTCGATACGCTTGCAGTGATGGCAATGTGTTATTGTTGTAATAGCTGGACTGCATATTCCTAATAGGTGCCGCCATCATAAGCAGGGGATGAGGAAATGCCAGGTCATACGTCGAGCCAGATGTATGAATGCTACCAGAAGTAAAATTTGACATGTTGGTACCAGCGGCATAGTGCAAGAATGGTATGTGCGCTGCGCCGGTAATAGTATGCAAAGGTGGAAGTGCTCGCTGTGTTTGATGTTCAGGACAGACAATGGGTGTTGTAGTTGTAGAATGGCATTTATCTGTGGACAAACGTTGACAGTAGGAGCTATCGAACTCCACTACATCAATGACCGTTCGGTCTTCTCCATCGTCATTAATAGTATCCTCAAAGACTAGCCCAGGTTTATCGGGCATTATTAAACTCTCTATTGTAAAAGATCGTTTAGGGCGCAAGCTATTAATGATTTCCATATCATAATTTGTAGATGAATTTGTATGTGTAGGTGTAGGTGTCATATCAATCGCATTTAAACGCACTGAGTTTGAAACTGGTATCTGTGAAGATGTTGGAGATATGGGATCACGGTTTGGGCGACAATTTTGCTGTAGACGAGGGGAGCCTTCCATTGCTATGCGCGACATATGAGCATTTGATTCACTAATCAAAACGGTGCTGCTTCCATCAAATGGCTGCACTTGCGATATGCCATTGTTAGGACAAGTGGTGAAGAAGAACCGATTTAAATTCGCAAGTGCTGCTAACTCTTCATTAAGCAAGTCCTTGTCATTTTTGTGTAGTTTAAATCGCTTCCGTCGACGTAACAAACTTCCGTTTTCAAACATATCAAAAGCTTGCGGATGTAAGGCCCAGTAAGCACCTTTTCCAGGTCTATCTGGCCGACGCGGCACCTTAATAAAACAATCGTTAAAGCTTAAATTGTGGCGAAGTGAATTTTGCCAGCGCTGCGTGTTTTTCCGGTAATATGGAAATCGATCCGTTATGAATTTGTATATATCGCTAAGTGGTAACATTTTTTCCGGCGAACTCCAAATCGCCATAGCAGTCAAGGATATATAAGAATAGGGAGGTTTTTGGTCTCCGTAAGATTCACGCGATGGTCTCGGCATTATTTTTATTTTTATTTGCCTTTTTCTCAGAAGAATTGCATTTAGTATTCAAATTTCCGAATGCCCTCCTCTTTGCGGCAATTCGTTGTTATTAACATGTTTTAATGATTTCACTACTTGTCTGTCACTATAAGTCAGGTTTGTTTTAGATTTCAAAATTATGTATTGCTCTTTAAAACACGATTTTAATAACACGAACTGAGCTGTTTGCAATGAGAAACAATGTAAAGTCTAATAGACCAAATTATCTTCTTTTATTAAGCTCATGAACCATTTTGGAGACTATGAACTAGTTGGCGACGGCTACAGAAACACGGGAATTCACGTCAATAATCGGTACACAACTACTACGTTTGTGATAAGCAGCACCAACAACACTGAATGTAAAAGTGCTCTCGCCAAGGTTCACTTTGCCAGGCAAAATACCATCAAAGGCTGAATACGAATACGTGAGCAGCAAAGTGGCAGCAAGGTAGGCGCGAAGATAACGATAGAGACGGAACAAAAAAACAACAACAGCGAAAACGACAACACACATAGTACACGGCATATAACACATACAACAAAATCACTGTTTCAGCAGACTAACAGACGACGTGCCAGTTATAGTACCAAGTGAGCAATGCACTACAACCAACCACAGCGAGCAATGCAATCAAAACATAATCACTCACATCATTGCCCCCGTGCTCTCTCAATAACCACAAAGCGAATGGGAACATGCATCATCCCTCCGAAACGGCGAAACTTCAAAGGAGAGAGCCATAGCGAAGAGACAGAGATTTAGTGAACGAATAAACCAGTCTGGTCAGACCAGACTACGTCAGCCTGGCCTAAAGCATGCAAGCCGTTAAAGGGCAATGACGGCACAGCAAGGAGTTATAACAAAGGCTATGTGATCGACAAAAAAGCAGCCGCGTCGGCAGCTGGCGGCCGGCTCAATACGCGTGAGGTGTTGAAAAAGGAAATTACAACCACTTTAGCGATTTACTGATCTTACATTTTCATAATCTTGTTAACTAATTTGTCTGTGCGCAAATTCCGTCAGGCAATAGGTATACTTGTACACTTGATGAAGTTCTGTTAATTTAATTTGAGGAACATGTATGGGGTACAGATTAAGTGTGAATATACGTAATGTATATGTACTTAGGTATATTATTTCTTTTTCAAGGAAACCCTAATAGCCTTCTCTTGAAATATGTGTATGTATATGTATTCTAGTTAGTGTAGTCTATGCAGATTTATGGCGTACAGTTTTGAAAAGCTGTGAAAAGTCATACATAAAAGTAATGCGTCGACAAATAAAAAAGAATTTCGAATGCTATTGATATAATCGAATGCTTCAATTTTCAATTCATTTTCTTGTCTTATTTTATACATACTATTTATTGGTGCAAGAACCTTACATATGTACATATTGTTAAATGTTTATTCATATCGATTACAAGCAAGTTACTGTTAACATCCGAATAGTTGCCACACTCTCGACAAGCCTTTAACAATACTTAACTGTAACTGTGGTGAAAAGGGGTTGGCAAGTGGTATATAATCTCTCTGAGAGAGTTTCTCAGCAGGGATAGTTTATATTAAAAGAGGACAACATGATGGTGTCAAAAGTTGTTGTCCCACTCTGTTGTACATTTCGTGGTAGTGAAAAGCAACATCTATTGTGATTGGCTCAACTGGTGTGTTGATTTTGTAGGCGGGGCCTAATGCTGCCAATATCAAAAATATAATTGGCCATTTGCTGTTCAGTAGCAGCACAAATTAATTGTGTTAATTTTATGGTCTTTCGGCTCGAATTCAATTATCGAAATGATATATACTTATATATATATATATATATATAAGTATATTTGTTTATTAAAAGATGTAAATTTACAATACTACTTACTAAGGATTCAATAAGTACGTGGGGAAAAATAAAAGGTAAGTTAACTTTAAACAATTTTAGAGGTTGGTCAAAAAAAAAAAAGAAACCCGGGTGTTATTTTGCCTTACTTACTATACTTACATACATATATTATAAAAACTACTATACATACTTGTACAAGTATTTGCATATATTTGCATGCATGCCTGCAATTTCCTATTTCAATAATATCTATTATTTTTATCATGTCATATCAGTTTCTAATATAAAGCACAATGCAGACTTAATTTTACTCAAGCAATTATATATTTTTGTTAACTCAAAAAGAAATGCAACTGGGCTTCCGTCAATGTTGTCTTTTAAAGGACTTTCTGCTAACACAGATGCTGGTATTGCTGACATTTTTTCCATTTTTTCCAAGATACATACACAACAAATTGTTTCTCGTCGTCCAAAATTCACTTTTACAGAAATATTCCTGAGGCTAACTGCATATTCATGCCTGTTGTCGATGAACCTTCCATTTTGACAAACCTTCAAACTCTTAAGCAAAGTTTTGCTCCCGGTCCGGATGGTATACCAAGCTGCGTTTTAAAATTCTGTGCTGTTGCCCTAAGTAAATCACTTTTCAAGCTTTTCCATGTTACTTGACAGTTGCTGCTTTCCCGATATCTGGAAAGGATATTACATCGGCCCACTCTTCAAAAAAAGGATCTAAATCTGATATTGAAAAATGCTGGAAAAACTGATGACTACCCAGTTACAACATCATTGTAGGTCCATAATTTACCCGTTCCAACATGGATTTATGAAACGCGGCTCTACCTCAAGGAATCTCCTCGAGTTCTCATCGTTTGTATCGAATGGGTTTTTAGCTAAGAGCCAGATGGATGTTGTCTACAGTGACTTTAGCAAAGCTTTCGATTCTGTCAATCATGAGCTATTGATCCACAAGTTGGGGCTTTTGAGATTTTCCAAAAATCTTATTGTATGGATATCTAGTTATTTGTTTGTCAGAACACAACGTGTAATTTTTAACGGCGTACTGTCAAAAGCTATCAAAGTAACTTCGGGGGTCCCACAGGGTAGTCATTTAATTCCTCTACTGTTTACTCTTTTTATAAATGATCTTCCATCGTCCTTAACTCAAACTTTACCTTTCTTTAGTTTCATGAAAATTTACAGTTTGATCTTATTGTGGCGTTCCCTGAATCTGTTGAACCTAAATTATGTTAAATATAAAATAATAACGTTCCACCGATGCAACCCTTACTTCGTTTCATATTATTTAAATAGCATTCCTTTAGAATGGGTTTACACTGTTAGCAACTTAGGTGTACTGTTTGATGCTAAACTTTGTTCTAACGATCACATCTCAAACATTGTTCATTAAGCAAAGGGCACTCTAGGCTTTATTAAACGTTGTGCGCAGGAATTTGAGGACCCCAACTCAATTCTAATTTTGTATACGGCTCTTGTGCGACCTACCTTAGAATATTGTTGTAATGTCTGGTGCCCGCAATATGCAATTCAGAAAGATCGCATTGAATCGGTTAAAAAGCAATTTCTTTTGTTTGCCTTAGGATGGATGGAGTAGAACTGACCATATTCTCACAGGCTACAATTGCTAATCGGCGGATCTCATTAGGTTATTGTAATTCTATTTAATTTTAATTTTTTTAGTTTTTATACTCTGTACATGAAATGTACAGAACTATATTAGGTTTACAGGAGTTGAAAAATGTAACGGGCAGAAGGAGGCGTGGCAGACCCCACAAAGTATATATATATTTTGATCAGCATGACGAGACGAGTCGATCTACAAGTAGCCCTGTCTGTCTGTCCGTCCGTATGAACACCTGGATCTCAGAGACTATAAGAGATAGAGACACCAAATTTTACAATAATATGGCTTATGTATGTACGCTATACGAGTTTGTTTTATTTTTTTGATTCCCCCCCCCCACTTCCACCCTATGGGGGTTTTTCCGATTTTCCATTCGTATAATCACCTATATCTCGGAGACTATAAGACCTAGGAACACAAAATTTTAGTCCAAGATGCCTTATGTAAATACGCAGAAAATTTATATTTTGGAATTTCCCTCCCTTTCCCCTCTCCACCGCAAATGCGATTTTCTCTAACTCCCGTAATTCTTGGAATTTCGAACTAAAATTTAGCAAATACCCCCAGTTAGTTATTATGTGTCCGTATGCCAAGTTTCACTATGATAGACCGATTTAACAAGAAGTTATAGCCATAAATATATTTGCTGCTGCAGCGCTGCTCAAGCGCTGCCCGCAGCTGTTGTTGACGTTGCTGTTTAGTTGACTGCGAAAATGCTTACACAGACACAAATAGACGCGCATAAACATACATACACTCACATAGACGCAATTGCTTTTTATATGTGCAATTATATACCCTTTACTTGAGTTCGAATACCGAGAAAGGTAAAATCGATCAAATTTTTTTAAATTTTCTTATATTTTTTTCTATAATTATTGTAAACATATGTACAGAGTATTTCAAAGTCGGGACACCCGACTTTAGCTTTTTTACTTGTTCTTTTTATACCCCGTACCCGTAGGGTAAAAAGGGTATATTAGGTTTGTGCAGACTTTGCCATCGTCATTTTCCTTTCCATTAATGACTCTGTAAGTTCTGAATTATTTGCAAATTTCGTCCAGTCGACGTACTCCTCCGCGTCTTTTGCTAATAACTTTTCTTAGAATTGACCGAATTGAATAAAATTTTGAACAACAGTAGAGAATTATATATAATATATTATTATATTATATATTATAATTATATAAATTATGTGTGCAAAGTTTAGTTTAGGTAGCATTTGAAATGTGGACGCTATTTACGAAATTCTGTAGCGTTGGTGGGGGGGATATTAAAAAAATAAAATAAACTCCTTTCTCGGACCTAGGAGAATCTGGATGCCAACTTTGGTTATTCTAGCTTTTATAGTTTCTGAGATCCTTGCGTTCATCCAGACGGACGGACAGACGGACGGACATGTCTAGATCGATTTCTCTCGTCATGCTGATTCAGAATATATGTATATACTTTATGGGGTCGGAGATGCTTCCTTCTGCATGTTACATACTTTGCACA